ACCAGTGGTCGGCAAACTCATTAGTCAACAGAGCCAAATATTAACAGTACAATGATTGAAATTTCTTTTGAGAGCCAGATTTTTTAAACTTAAACTATATAGATAGGTACATTGTTATTAAGTTAATTAGGGTACTCCTAAGCTGGCCTTTGCTAAAAATGTCCTCAAGTCTGATTGAGATACATTCTCTGAGGTTGACCCCTTCCAACTCTCCCATCCACACTCATCTTGTATACTTGTTTCATGTATCTTTTGTCACCCATGCGCGATTTGCGGACGCGACTAGCACTAACCACTGCACAATGAGACTGCTGACTAACTGGCTCACTCAACTCATGCATGAATCGCACGCGCCCCCCCCCACCCCGCACTGCGTATTCCCCAGCACCGCCTGCGCCGCGTCTCCCGTCACCCAACCAACTAACACCCCACACTTCTTCTAAACACCACTTCTTCAAAATACACTCACCCAGGCCGAAAACCGACTTCTGCATATGGGCCACGAAGTTTCAATTGCACTGTACGTGCATGCCGCACGTGGTATTTTGTGGAAGAGCCACACTCAAGCGGCCAAAGAGCCGCATGTGGCTCGCGAGCTGCGGTTTGCCGACCACTGCCCTAGGAGATATATAGGTAGGCAATAATGAGAGGCGAGGGAAATGAATCATAGTGGTAAATATGCAATATTAATTATAAAGGTAATTAATCAATTAAAGTTTCTGTGTTATCAGAGGAGAGGCTTGTTTTTGGTTTGTGGCAGATTTTCTCCTTAGTTTCCTTTGCCCTAGGAGATGTATCCATAAACATATTGCTACAAGAGCTGTCTGAAATTTTGCTGCCTATGGTTTCTTCTAAGATTTTTATGCTTTTGCCACTTATATTTAAGTCTTTAACCCATTTTGAGTTTATTCTTGTGTATGGTGTAAGTTGGTGGTCTAGTTTCATTTTTGTGTATGTATCTATCCAATTTTCCCAACACCACTTATTGAAGAGAGTGTCTCCCTGTATGTTCTTGCCTCCTTTGTTAATATTAATTGAACATAATGACTTGGGCCGATTTCTGGGGTCTCTATTCTCTACCATTGATCTATATGCCTGTTCTTGTGCCAGTACCAGGCTGTGTTGAGAATAGTGGCTTTGTAGTATAACTTGATATCTGGTATTGTGGTCCCTCTCACTTTGTTCTTCTTTCTCAAGATTGCTGCAGCTATTCAGGGACATTTTTGGTTCCATATAAATTTTTGGAGTATTTGCTATAGATCTGTGAATTATGCTGTTAGCATTTTAATAGTGATTGCATTGAATCTGTAGATTTCTTTGGGTAGTATGGACATTTTAATAATGATATTTCCACCAATCCATGAGCATAGTATATTCCTCTACTTCCTCTCTCTCTTTTTTCAACATCCTGTAGTTTTCTGAATACAAGTCTTTTACTTCTTTAAGTTTATTCCTAAGTATCTTAACTTTTTTTTTGTTGCAATGATAAATGGATTGTTTGTTTAGTTTCTCTTTCTGAGAATTATTATTGTATAAAAATGCCTTAGATTTCTGGATGTTAATTTTGCATCCTGCTACATTGCCAAATTCCTTTATTCAATCCAGTAGTTTTTTGGTGGAATCTTTAGGGTTTTCTATGTACAATATCATGTCATCAGTGATTAATGACAATTTTACTTCCTCCTTTCCAATTTGGAGGCCTTTTGTTTCTTTTTCTTGTCTGATCACTGTGGCTAGATTTCCAGTACTTGGAATGAGAGTGGTGAAAGAGGACATCCCTGCCTTGTTCCTGTTCTTAAGGGCAACACTTTTAGTTTTTGCCCATTGAATACAATGTTCACTGTAGGATTGTCATGTATGGCCTTTATTATGTTGAGATATACTCTCTGTTCCTACTTTGCTGAGAGTTTTTATCAAAATAGGGTGTTGGATTTTGTCAAATGCTTTTTCTTTGTTTATTGATATGATCATGTGATTTTTGTCCTCCAGTTTGTTTATGTGATGTATAACATCTATTGATTTGTGAATATTGTACCAGCCTTGCATCCCCACATAAATTCCACTTGGTCGTAGGGTATGATCTTTTCAATGTATTGCTGAATCCAATTTGCTAATATTTTGTTGAGGATTTTATCATCTATGTTCATCAGGAATAAAGGTCTGTAATTTTCTTTTTTGTAGTCTTTTTATCTGGTTGTAGAATTATCTTCTTTGAATGTTTGGTAAAACTCCCCTCTGAAGCCATCTGGACCAGGGCTTTTGTTTGCTGGGAGTTTTTGATTACTGTTTCTATTTCATCAGTTGTTATTGGCCTATTCAGGTTTTCTGATTCTTCCTGATTCAGTTTTGGAAGATTGTATCTTTTTAGGAATTTGTCCATTTCATCCACATTGTCTGGCTTTTTGGCATATAGTTGTTCATAGTATTATATTACAATCATTTGTATTCCTCTGGTGTCAGTTGTTACTTCTCTACTTTTGTTTCTGATTTTATTTATTTGGGTCCTCTCTCTTTGTTTCTTGGTAAGTCTGGCTAATGGTTCATCAGTCTTTTTTATCTTTTCAAAGAACCAACTCTTGGTTTCATTAATTTTTTTTTTTGTCTCTATGTCATTTATTTCTGCTCTAATCGTTATTTCCTTCCTTCTACTTTCTCTGGGTTTTTCTTGTTGTTCTCTTTCTAATTCTTTAAGTTGTATGATTAAATAGTTTATTAATAATTTTTCTTGTCTTTTGAAGTAGGCCAGTAGTGCTATGAACTTCCCGCTTAGGACTGCTTTTGCTGTGTCTCAGAAATTTGGGGTTGTTGTGTGTTCATTTTTATTTATTTGCAGGAAGTTTTTTTATTTCTTTTGTGATCTCATTGGTAACCCATTTATTGTTTAAAACATGCTATTTAGCCTCAATGGGTTTGAATGTTTTTGTGTGTTTTTACTTTAGTTGATTTCTAATTTCATTCCATTGTGATCTGAGAAGATGCTTGATATGATTCAATTTTCTTGAACTTGTAGAGACTTTTTTTGTG